CATCACTGAAAAACTTCGAACCCGGGTACGAGCTGCTGAAATGAGCTTTCTTAGACGAGTCGCTGGCCTTTCGCGTCTCGACATGGTCCGGAATACAGACTTCCGGAAGGGCCTTCATGTATAGCCTTTGCTTCCCCAGATTGAGAAGTCGCAGCTGTGATGGTTTGGCCATGTGTTGCGAATGCTTCCAGAAAGGAAGGCTAAGCAAGTGTTCCTTGCAAATCCGACCGCCAATGGGCCCAGGGGATTGCCTCCAGAAAGGAAGGCTAAGGAACTGTTCCTTGCAAATCTGACCGGCAAAAGGCCCAGGGGACGGCCAAGCCTCCAGAAAGGAAGGCTAAGCAACTGTTCCTTACAAATCCGACCGGCAAAAGGCCCAGGTGACGGCCAAAGGTTAAACCTGGTGCAAACATATGGAAGGAATCTGTTCCAGACTGCATTTGTCTTTTGCCGAAGCTCAGACTCTGGCAGAGGATCGGAAACGTTGGAAGCACTGCCTGAAGTGTCTGCTTCCGCGACCCGAAAGAAGAAGTGGCGACGGAAGATGAAGATGAAGCGTCTTCAGAAAAAAGGCACGGAAAATTTCATTCGTTAAGGAATACTGGCGACAATGTGTGCTTTCAAACAATCTGAAAATTGCTCAACTTAAAAAATTGAGAGTTCAATCGAAGCACAAGTAAACAGACAAACGGTTATCATTATCACAACTGACAGGCAGATATAACCGGAACGTAACTGTTTATAGCAAATGTAAGATTACCTCAATGTGCCGCAATCACCGTCATCGATAACTCTGAATTCGCTGATGACGTTGCTCTTAGAATTGCAGATGTGAAAGATACTTTAATACGATAAACCGACTACTTTACCTCATGTTCTCAGTACTCACTGTGGTACTCAAACTGTGAGCGTGCTGGGAAAAGGGCGCTGCACTATTCAAGACTCAATCATTTCACTTTTACTTCATGGCACTTCAGAATTCCATAGTGTGCAAATTCTATGTGGCTTCCGCAATCAAAAATTGTAGCCGTAGCTCCAATAATATTCATTTTCATCCCTTATTCATGTTCCATACGGGGTCGGTACGAATCAAATACTGGATAACGGTTGTACTCGAAGTCGCTCTCAAAATATTTTGACTCAATTACAATCACTGCAATAATGCACTACATACCATACGTATTTTACCTAGCAATTACATGGAATGGCACGTTCATCATTAGCTCTGGTTATTCATTCCATAATACCACCTGTACTCTTTCAGCAGCGCATCGTCAAGCTGCTCGTACTATCCTTCAGCACTCTTTAGCTGATAAGAACACAATCGACTAGCTAAGGGTGTTCAACTCGGTATTCGTTTGGGAAAAACTTCCGATGACACTGCGTGGAATGCACTGCCAAAGAATCAGCGGTCTTCCAAGGAGAACCGATCGCTCGACTACAGTCTGAAGAGTCATAACCCTCTGACCACTGAAAAGACAATAAATAATGGGGGAGTTTCGAACAGAAAGGTACTGCTATGAAGTTGCTTTTCTTTCTTTTAGCTATGCATTGTTCATCTGTCACATGAGGATAAGGCAGATTATGTTATGTTTCCCTGAATGATGTAGTAAATTTATCCATAAGTAATATAGTTGAATTTTCTGATAATTATTCAAACTTCTTCTTCTCTTTAATCCCCATCTTCCTCGTAATGAAAAACAACACGAAACATGCTTAATTAATACATAACCAAGAAATCACATGGTCAAGAAGTCCCCGTGGCTCCAAATCTATTAAACGCTGTCGACAACAAGGAAAGCCTCCGAAACTTTATCAACCTCCTACCTTGAAGAAGGCTCGTGAGATAAGATAGATCATGCCAGTTTTTGCTTTGTGCATTCGAGTTTTATGCTGTTTCTTAGTATGACCACAAACGCAAGAACGAAATTTTCATCTTCGTCACAAACATCATCATAATTTGATCTGTTCATTCTTTCGCAACGTTACTCTTGACTGTTTTCTTCATCGATAATACCAAACGCTATAGGTCCAACGGCCATTCCACGGATAAAGGTCATCAATAGTTGTGGTTAATCATTTTAAAGCACTACATCATATGCGAAGGTGTGATCGATTAAAAACGCCACGAAAAAATTGGGATATTAAACAGAGTGGCCAGCGGGTAGAAGTTAATTACCCACGTAAAATCTTCATGGCCATTACACATATTAGTTTGTTCAAGCTTGCATTAATGGATTTACCACTAGACGAAGTACAAGGATTTTATCGAGAAGTTGAAGATGTCGCCCACCCCGCATATACACCGATGAGGCACGCATGGTTCCTACGGTTATTTGAAGCGATGGCTGTTTCTTTGACCAATTTAAACTGATTTAGGAAATAGAATTTAAACTAACAAATGAACTCAAGAGTATGGAAATACCTTTTTAGCTCTTCAAAGTTATTACTGCCTAGAAGATGACCAGTTATTAGAAGGATAATTGATCAGTAAAGAAAGTTACACGTATTTCCAATACAGACGTAAATTTATTTGGCTAATACTTCTTTGATTGATGGGCGAAACTTTCAGTACCTCAAGTGACAAGTTTGCGGGAGAAAATGCAAAGCTCTGAATGTGCTAGAAAACTACGATTTTGTAACGATCTATCCAATGTGCCAAAACATCGCACACACGGTTCACTAACAATAATTTTTTGGCTCTTCGAGTCTTCCGAGTCCTAGTGTAATGACCAGTACCCAAGTATTGACAAATACAGATCGTTAGATTTTGAGTGTTACCTAGAGGCTTTGTCACTCGCAATAGCAGAAACTCCTAACGAAACCACGTCTGCTGAAGACAAAAACAATTAATCTTGTTTTGGCAAGTTAACCAGCTACTTTCAGGTTCCCAATGGCAGGTGGCAGAAGTCAGTGATCTCCAAAGCCTCGGAAAAAGGCGTGAAAGTTATCATGCAGAATTTCGAGACCGGGGATCGTGCAAATTCGAGAAAGGTTTCCTCTTGCTTATTGTTAAGAACGTATCCTCACCGATCATCGTTCGAAATATGAAAACGGCTATCGATGATTCGCTGTGAACAATTTATGTAGGCTTTAGAGGGGAGAGTCGCACAGAGAAAACTTATCTGCTAAAAAGATTACCGAACATTGCGGATGTTAAATCCAGCTGTCCCGCCACCCGATGATTCCTGACTTCCAGGCAGCTAATCAGTTCATAGCCAAATAACATAACCTGTCATTCGATAAGATTTGAATTTCTTACGCGTAACAGAGCGGTTAGAAGGTATAAGAATGAAAAAATACGCCAAAACCGCAAGTCGCTTTTCAAACTTGTTTGTAAAACTCGAGCGGATCCGGTGAGTTGCTCTTTATTCCCTTTTCTCCATATTCTGGGCAAACAAAGGATACCGCACAGCGATAAAATGCTGCAGCATTCAGATTTGATGAGGTGAATGGCACATCCAGATGATTAAACATAACGTACGTTTCGCTGTGCATGATACGGAAGAGTGTCACAGTTTTATGCTTACTCTTACCGTTTTATGAAAGGAGAAAGACAATAATTAAGAAACCAAGTTATGATTCATATGCATATATTTACTGACCTAAATCTGATATCTGAAACCAGCACATGAACCGGCCTAACTCTCTGACGTTGGTTTGGGAAATCGAAAGAGTTCACTAAACGTTCGTTGGAAACAACAATTCTTCGTCGTAATAAATTATTCGTTAGCAGAGCACCATAAACAATGAGTATCAATTTCGAATATAATTGTTAATTTGTGATTGACTCGTATTGTGGAGGAGGGCTGTGAGAATGGCATGCAGATTCACGATTCACTTCTTCTGTATCTTCTGTTAGGTTCCTAATCACCAAAAATAGCATAATAATGCACGCTTTGGCCAGAAAGTACGCCGAAAACAGGTACACTGCGATTGAAGTGATTATTGTCATCAAGGCTGTCCATCGTGGAAGTGGCAGACTAAGATCTTGAATGGTCATTCGGTCGATGGGGCAAAGGGACGTTCGCTCGACATTCCATTCTGGTATCATCCAAGGACACATCGCGTCTTGATCCAAAGAGTACAGTCTTTCGCAGTAGAACAGGTCTACGTACTTTTTAGACATAGACACAGCAAAGCTTATGCCCAAAACGTACATGAAAAACACAACATTCTTCAAAATACTTAGTGTCCGACCACTAAATGCCGATGTTTCGAGACGGCAAAGCATGCGGTGCGAAACAAAACATGTAAACGACAGATAGATTCCGAACAGCACTTCGTCGTGCGTTATCGACTTAACCATAGAGCACAGCGCTAATCGAAGGGTCCACATGTTGAACAAAGTGAAGATACAGAAACATAATCTTTTGACGGCCTGCTTCAGACGCCATTCTAACGTCGTCATGGTGCTGGTAAAAGATTAATAGTCTAAAACGAACAGGGAATTTTTCATACTCCAGAGTTCCGTCAGATGTCAAGCAAACACATTAATGCGATACGGCAAAAGATTACATCAACCGATAATATTACAATACAGGAATCATACCGTAAACTGTATGCAATTTTTTGAATATAATTTTATAGTTTAAACACCGATTCAATCGAGGTGCCTTTTAAGAAGGAAGCATCAACGTTGCGGATATCATTAGGGTTGATAGTGAGCGAATATTTTAAACAAAATCGCAGTTAAAAACAATAAACACTTAGATGAAGTTGGAGACTCAAAATTATGAACTGAATTAGTATATTTGCCAAGAATATCGAAGTTGTATTTTGCTCAGAACTTGAAAATCTAATTAAAGGTATTTCTAAGCAAACACACGACCGCTATGGACACTTAAAAGATGTTACGACAAAAACTTTTCATTTTAAGCCTTTCGGGCATTGCAAGAGCAGACAAATT